GCGCAGGCCGCGCCAGGCCGCGTGCAGGTCGCGCCAGGCCAGCCAGACCGGTGCCCGGGGGGGAGACCAACTTGGTAAGTTGTTGCCTAGGTGCTTGCCTAGTTGTCACGAGGTGCCACGTGTCGCAATTTCACTGGAGGGTCAAATCTGCCCTCATCATTATCCAATTAGCCGATCGTTCTAACGCCTACCCAGAAGGGATTGTTGAGAATGTATTGGTGAAGGATAACGATTTAATTTTTCCAGCTGATTTTTACATTCTGAAGATGGAGGAGGACACGATCACAAGTTCAGACCCACTTCTATTAGGCAGGCCATTCATGAAAATGGCCAAGATCAAAATAGATGTGGATGAGGGTACCCTCTCCGTCGAGTTTGACAGGGAGACTGTTAAATTTAATATTTTTGGAATTATGAAGTACCCAAATGAAGACCATTCGATCTATTCGGTTGACACTATTGATCCAATTGTGCAGGAAATTTTTGAAAAAGATATGAATGGGGAGCTAGAATCGGGTGCACAATTGGATACGAAGGCCCCTATTTTAGATTTGAACCCGCCCATGATGGATGGAAGGGGAGCACACCGAAAGCTGCATCCACAAGAATTAAAGGATACAATCCATGATTATTAAAAATAGGGAAGTTTGTTTTTCCTTTTTTTTTTGTTTTTACATTCCTAGTTTAGTTTTTTCTGCCCTTTCTTTGCATTTAACCTTACATTGGGGACAATGTAACTTTTAAGTGTGGGGGAGGGAGATTTAGGTTAGAATTTAGATTGCGCTTAAAAATAAATTTGATTTAGGTCATGTTTTTCTGCATTTACTTTTCAAAAAAAAAATAAGTAAAAAAAAACCAACTCTTTTGAAATCAATTGAATCAATGTTCTAGGAAAATTCTTGTGAACCTAGTAATGAGGTACGATCAAGGAGTACACGACCTATCTGAAGCCATTCCTTCTTACAGCTAGTCCTAAATTCATGTTTAAGTAAATAGGGTAAATACTTTACCATTGCTACAATTGGTAGGGTGAAGCATAAAATGCACCTACCAGCCAAGTAATCCGATGGTAGGATGGAGCATAAAATGCACCTATCGGTCAATTAATCCGATGGTAGGATGGAGCATAAAATGCATCTACCAGCCAAGTCATCTGATAGTAGGATGAAGCATAAAATGCACCTACTAGCTAGTAAATCAAACAGTAGGATGGAGCATAAAATGCACCTACTGACCAAGTAATTCAAACAGTAGGATGGAGCATAAAATGCACCTACTGACCAAGTAATCCAAAAGTGAGATGGAGCATAAAATGCACTCACTTCTTCAGAGGAGAGAAAAAGAAAATAAAAAGAGAGAGAAGATAAAAAAGGTTTTTCCTGATTTACTACCTGGTTTGTAGTAGCAAAAATTGGATTGACTGATGAATGAGTCGTGTATGACTTGGTTGTGTTGATTTAATGGTTCACAATATTTAACCTAGAATATTTGTGGAGAAAGATGAAGGAGAGTTGAGTTTAAAAACCGGTAGGATTTTTAGTTTGTTTTTGTTTGAATTTTGTCTTGCCCGAGGACGGGCAAGGTTTAAGTGTGGGGGGATTTGATGAGACCAAAAAGAACCCTATTTTTATCCCCTAATATTCACTCTTTTACATTTATTTAGCACTTAAATGGACTCATTACTCTTGTATTTCGATTCAAGGCAATAAAGAAGGCAATTAGAAGAAAACAGAGCAAATTGGGTGATTTTGCATTGTTTCGGCGATAGTCAGTAATCTGGGCATAACTCTCAATTCAGAACTCCAAATTGGACAATTCAAGAAGTATTAGAGAGATGAAAGGAAGGCCCACAACTTTTATGTTTTGGGTTTTTGCAGATTCGGTACGCATTGAATCCGAAACCGGGCCCGAAGTCGGAGCTAGTTCGTAGCTGGGTCCATTTCACAGCTAAAGCCCAACTCGCAGAAGAACATGAAAACAACCCAAGTTATCATAGAAGCCCAACTCAAATGCGAGAGCCTAGAGTCCTAATTTGAATGTAACCTCCAAGGGGGGAAAGAGTCTTATTAGATCTAAATTCTGAATGTAATCCTATAAAGATAAGAATGATAGGGATTAGATAAGAGATTGGATAGGATTAGTTCAAAGAAGATCAGGACTCCCTTAAGATAAGATGATCTCCTAGAAGGAGTTGGAAAACAGCCATCTCCTTTGGCTATATAAAGAGGGGGGCGGACCAGCTCTAGCATCACTCAATCCAAAATCCAAGAGATCACCAAGCAACTCAAGAAACTCAAGAGAGCAGTTCGGCCATGGAGAAGCATAGCATGGAGGTTTCGCAGATCATGAGCAGCTAAGCTTCTTTTTCTGGTTCAAGGGGGGAGGTTTGATTGTGCCATTGTGAGGTTCTGTAGTTAATTTATTTTTTTGCTTTTTAATTCAAGTATTCATTGGTTCTTGTTGACATTTTTATTGGATGTTAATGTTAGTTAGTTTGACAAACTGAATTAGTGTTGATTTTCCTATTGCTATCCATGATTTCGGTGATCCGTAATTGTCACAAATAGTGGTACAAGTAGCAATTATGTTAATATTTTTTTGGGTCAATTGTTTGTGACAGCCATTGACCAATGTATTGACATGGTTTAACCTAAAAGGAATCGATGGAACAAGATTCAATAATTGCAGCTATCTCAATTATTGTTGTTTTGGTTTAACTGTTTTCACAAATCTTAATGCTATCACCGGTTAATATGGAACGCTATCGTGTACCCACTTGAGTGGTGATAAGTGTTGATCGAATGCTGGGTTTGGTCAATTGATTTAGGAAAACACAAGGTTTATTATGGCTATCCTAATAAATCTAACGTTAAATGCTTGAATCGCAAAAATGCTGAAATTTACCTAGGATCGATGGCCAATCGATTCAACCCGAACCCTTGAACCAGAATTCAGTAAGACTGATTTTTTCTTGTTTGTTTAGTTGTTTTCTTATTCTTTTAATTTTACTTATTAAATTTTCCCACTCAATTATAGTATCCATTCGGCTAAGAGATTATTGTTTAACTCCATGTGGAGTTCAACCTATTACCACTTTTACTATAAATTTTTTATTGTGGGACTAGTACTAATTTTGAGGACTTACAACCCGTCACTGACTTTACTGAAAAACAAGCCAGAAGATTAGAAGCCTGGCCTCGAGGATGGAACCCAGCAAGCAAGTTTGATGGAAATTGGAAATGGTATCTCCTGTAAATTAGATAGTAATAACGAAGGCAACAAACAACCTTTCGAGACTGGGCAGAATACCCAAGTTGGATCTGAATCAGTATCATCAACTAGTTTTATTATATTAAAAACCAAAATCATCCATATAGGCGAACCTCTTATTTCTATTGCTTTTCTATTTTATCTGTAAGTACAGCAAGGAATATTCCTTAAAATTCCACAATCCCCCATATTGTGATCAGAAAAATACTTTGTTTGTGTAGAATAACGAGCCAACGTGGACGTATCTAACACACAACCCATAATATCATTGTCATCATCTAAGCCTTATCCCAAGTGTATAATTGGGGTCAGGTATCTGTTTAATGCCATATGAACAGAATGGAATGACATTGTCTGCCATTAACTTCATACGTAGTCAATGAAAACCGAACTTATCCTTTGTTCTTCTCATTCTGAAGAGACTACTACACTTTTCAAGTTTCCACCACCCCCACCTTTCTACAAAGGAAGGAACACTGAAACCCTCCACACAGACTATGAATGATGATGCTTCAATAATTAATTTTTGTTAAGTTTGGGTTATTTTAAAAACCTCTATAAAAGGATCCATGACAACGACCGACCTAATTTTCTCTTTCAGCAACGTAAAGCCGAGAAAAAGAAATGGACCACATATCTAAGGTAGGAAAAGTAATAAGAAGACTTGACAAGATGAATCCTTTTTATCTTTTCCCAACCAAGTCCTATCCTCACTTGCATTGCGGAAAAACCAAGTTCTATCCTCACTCCAGAAGTCTGTAAAGAACTTTGGGGGTTTTTCAGTCATTAAGCAGAAAGAATCATACGGAATGGGTTCATTATGACTTCATTATTTCTGTGTTTTCTATTATTTTTTAGCAGTTAAATATTAAGGAAAATTACATGGAATTACCCTGAAATTTGGGGTAATGTCACTTGAAGGCCTCAACTCAGCAGGAGACCTTAACTGAGGGGTAGGCCATCCCCCAAAACCTATAAACACCCCTCCCCCCCCCGAACAAAAAAACAATTTGCACATTAATCATTTTTATTTCTCTTATTTTATAGTTTTATTCTATCAAACTATAAATGGGCATTTTGTTAAATTTATCACCAGTGTAAACATTGGTTAATAAATTTGAACTGCTGGTTTTTAAAATTACAAGGTAGTAAGTAAGAGAAGGATGAGGTTGAGGCCCTTAGGTGTTAGTGTGTTACCTCCATGTGATTTTCCCTTCATAAAAATATACAGGGTAACGAGTAAAGCCGGAAAATCTGGTGCATATCCCCTGGGACCGGAACTGTCTGGATCGAAGGAGACAGGTGGGCATATCTAACAAAGCTACCTGATCCTTGAGCACCTTTACAGGAAGATGGGAATAAGGATAATTTCTTTTTGCTTAGTAACAAATCCAATTATGGCAAGTAGATAAACAGAAAAAGAAATCATTACTTTAGCCTCCTTCACCCTCCTCTACGTTCATTTCTTTTCTCTTTCAGTAAAGTCTCCCCCGCCATTAAAACAAGTCAAGGAGAACGACCCACCAAGCATTTGCTTTTTCTTTTCTTGCAAGATAGGATGTGAAATTCGGTGGGCGTGAGGTAAGAAAGCTTCGAATTGGGATTATTTTATATATTTTTTTTCTTTGCTCTGGTCATATGTTGTAGTTTTGGATCTAAGATACGTCTGTTTGTAGCAAGAAATGGAAAATAGGATTCTTGGTCTTGGAAAAATGGGGAATAAAGTATATTTGGGTGCGATTGCCTTTTGCATACAAGGACTTGAATTCTGATTTGGGTTTTCCATTTCATGTTACAAACTCTTCTTGCTTTTTGTGGATAGACTTACAATCGGGAAGTGAGGGCCAGTAGACCCTGATATAAGTAATAAAAAACAATAACTGACGGGTTCTCTTTCCCCCTTCTTTTCTCCATCACTGAAACTTGGTCGAAGCCAGGGACCTCAGAATCTGATTGGTCCGGGAAAACAAACAAGGTCTTAAAGAAGGTCCTCTCCAATTGTTCTTCTTCGAGGAGTACCATGAAGGTATTATGATTTTTATTATTTTTCTGGGAGAGTTGAAGAATAAGGTTCTTTAGTGGCACTATGGGTGACATTTGGAATGTGTTGTCTGGTTGGAGTTGGGAGGAGAATAAACTGTTCGAGGTGGCTTTGGCTATTGTCGACGAAGAGAACCCAGACCGGTGGGAGCTGGTTGCAGCTGCCGTGGGAGGTAAAAGTGCAGAGGAGGTGAAGAAACACTATGATATCCTCCTGGAGGATTTGCAATATATTGAATCTGGTAAATTTGACCATGGATTTGAAGAAAGTCAGTGGTGCCTTCCAGTTGAATGTACCCAATCTGTTGTGTCTTGGACGGATGAAGACCAGAAGTAAGTTTTCTTTTCCAAAACGTGCTCAGTATTTGCATTTGGATGATGTTCTTCGTATGTATTTTGTTTATTGGTTATTCCCATTGTTTGATGAAATTGAGTTTCTCTATAATTCTTTGGTTTCCATTAGTCTACCTTAATTTTTTGCTTACTTCTCCCTCTGGTATCTATGACCTTGGGTGCTTCTCTTTTTCAACAACTATTACTTTCTATGCCTATCACCAATCACATAAACAAAACAGAGAATGCTATGGTATGCTGTTTTGATATGTTCCCCATCAATAGTCCTGCTATTTGAAATTATAAAAGCTTGTAAAATCGGTATCCGGATGTGCAGTAATGTCTTGTCTAATGTTATATATTGGCCCTTCTGCTACATTTTTTTGTTTTCCCCTTTCTTGTTTACTTAACTTTGCATGACCTGATATCTGCTCTTATCTTCTTCCTGCTTCTGTTTCGTCTTCCATTGGCTCATCCATGGGTTTTCAGAAATCACTATGGTTCACCAGAAAAAGATAAGCTCATCAGAGTTCATTAAACGACATAAAAATGTTCAATTGTTTCCTAAGTTATATTCCAAATTCCTATCATCTAAGTGCCAAGATGTTTTCCAGTTTTTTGAATGAGCAGTTAATCAGAGTCAATGTTATCAAAATATACTCCATACAGAAGGTGAAAAATATATAGGGACAATGCATAGAGCCTCATAATAATTTTCTTTTATAACCATTGTACAGAAGATATTTAGTATTGAGGCTTTTTTCATTTCCTTTTCTACTTGAATATTGAATTTCAATGGACTGGCACTAGTTTTAGCAAATACTCCTGATTATAGTTAAATCCACTTCAAGATTTTCTTTTTATCTAATTAATAGATTTTGTTCATTATGATTTGGAAAGATACATTTTCTTTCACTTTTTTTATGCTTAAATGCTTATTTACCACTTGATAATTCATCACCATGTAGGCCATGTGGAGTTTGCAACAATGGCATTTGCATATTTTAATTTAGCTCAAGTTACTTAACGTATGCATCTGAGACCGGATAAATATCACAATTCACATAATGAAGAGCCATATTAACTCTACCATAAGGGTCCTTGAGTAGGGACTTGAGAAGTTGTCAAATTTTCCTTTTTGACCTTGTTCATCTGTCTCATTTTACCTTGTTCATATTAATCTTTTCACGTTGTTGTTGTTGTCAAATTGTCCTTCCTTGCTTCTCTTTTCTTCCATCAACTTTCAATCGTTAAACTGAGGGGATTGTAGGACATTAACCCCCCAAAAGAACAAGAGACATGGTTGGTCTCATTTTATCAATAACTTCTTGATATATAATCCTCACATCTTGTCATTCAGATCTTGTGCTTCTGAGCTTTCCAATAAATTGACTTAGAGCTTTTTTTTTTGGATAAGTAGATTGACTTAGAGCATTGTTTCCTTTTATTTGGTTTTGAGGAGCTTTTAAGTCAAATACTATCAATGAGTACAGATTCAAGATTGATCTGGAACATTTTTCCAATAGGTTGACTTAGAGGCCGCTTGATAACAGCTGAAGTGGTTGAACTTAGTTGCTTATTGAGGTCTTTTAGTAAGTTAGCAATAAATCATTCAGTTCAGCCACTTCAGCTGTTATCAAATTTTCCTTAGAGCATTTCCTCCTTTATTTGTTTGGTCTTGTGGGGCTTTTAAGTCAAATACCATCTATTATTACAGATCCAAGATTGATCTAGTACATTTTTCCTTTTCTTTCCTTACCCATGTGGTGCAAATCAGTTTTTCTCATCCATTTTAGCAAATATGTACTACTTTTGCCTATCAACATCTGTCAAATGTTTTCCATGACTATATTTCAACAAATGTACTGTTTACATTCTGAGTCAAAGACATAAATTTGCACAGAATTTTGTGAAATACTCGTGTCAAAGACAACCCCTGTAGGTTAGAATGTTCCCTCCTTGTTTTATTTGGTTTTAAGACAGAAACACTTCACTGAAAAGTGCCACATCCTTCAATAACTCCCCAGAAATAACTGTTAATCATTTAATTGCCATTATAGCCACTTAATGTTCTTAAAGCTGCCTTTATTTAAATTTCCACTAATGTCATCAACCATTTTGTTGAAAACCACTTCACTCACTCGGTTGATAGAATTTAACTGGAAACTTGGATGAAAATAAATTCTTTGTTTTTAATCACTAGAAACTTAATGGAAAGAAATACTAAAAATGGGCATAGACTTATCTCTATGCAATTCCAGGAAACTCTGTTGGTCAAATTTTCGGTACCATGGCATCAAGGAAAGCTTTCTCTCACTCAATGCATCAACTTTACCATTTTAAAGAAAAATACCAACTCAAGAAGAAAGAACTCCAGAAGGTGGATGTGCTGGATATTAGTAGTCTCAACTACTACCTTAAGATTACAGTTTGGAATGGTGCCTTTAGCATTCCATCTCCGTATAAACTTATATCAATTTCCACTTGCAGGAAACAACTGTGAGGTTGATTAGTTGATAGATTAATTCACAACTTAATGTGTTGACATTCATCCAGCTAATAATGTAAGAACAATCATAAAGTGACCTTGATAACCCTGTTTTACTCGAATAAATTTAATATTGCCATAAATTTGCAAATTCAAGTGGATAAACTGAGGTATTTTCTTGTATGAAAATTAAGCTTATCTTGGAAAATGAAAGTAGATTATTTATCATCCAAATTTTTTGGATGAGCACATAATACACACAATGCTCAGGATTAAACTTATACCGTTATTTGATTTTACAAAACTAAATCAATGCACATTAAAGTAGTATTAATTGTCAAAACATTATAATTGTCAAAGGATTGATTTGAAGAAAGATTCCAGATCTAGAAAGAGTTGGGGGAAGACCAGAAGGGACCAAGTTGAGGTGTTGAGAAAGGGGGTTTGAAGATAAAAAATTTGGCAATGCAGTGCTAGATATAGTAGAAATGCAAAATGATTTGTGTAGCCCTGTAGCTAACCCCATGTAGTTTGGATGAGGCTTTGTTGAATCAATGTGAATGAGATGAATTGCCCAAAGTATGGGAATAACAGTCATTATATAGATGTCATATAAAAAGGCTATTACCCCCCAATGTTGGTCCCATCTATTTGGGGTCTTGGGAGTGGTGACTGGATACAAACCTAAGACTTGAACCGTTCTCAGGCTTGCCAGCCTGAGATTTTACCACTACACCAAGCAATAGCCCCTAGTCATTATATTGATTTAATATGAAGATCCATAGAGATCAATAAAACTACTAGTGGTTACAATTTCTGTTAGTAAATTCATAGTTTTGGTTTTGGGTATCCTCAATAAGGTTAATGATGGATTATTTGATTTTCTAATTTTTAGCCTGGAAGGTATCCTACTTCTTTATGAAGCATGCAATCACCAGAATATACTTGCTGCAGTAATATTGTATATTTTTTATAATTGACAATGTAAAATGTACATGCACCGAGTGCAAACGAGATGGTGGAAGCACATTTTTTTCAGAAGAATACCATTTTGCTTTTATTTCTAATTTTCAATGAAACCCTTCATGCAGGATGCTTATTCAGTTGGACATAAATTGATTGGTGGAGGCACAAGAGCTTCTCCAATGTGTTCGGCTTACTTTTTCACACCTCATGGGGGCAAGAATATAAATATAAACCATGGACCCCGATATTATAGATTAGAATGGTATGGATTTATTTCCAGTTTATTAGTTGTTGAGTAAACTAACCTCTTTGTGTAAAACATTTGCAGTAGACTTTCACTGGTGAGCTATAAACATCTGTGATAGTTTTCTCTCCAAAGATATAGGTATCTGAGAAGGTTTGGAACATTTCCTTTTTGAGCTCCTAATTGTTATTGTTTTTAGGATTTTGAATGAGATATCTGTGAAGTGAACACACTGTGATTCATTTGGATGATAAAAAGTTAAGCATGTTGATACTTTGATGGAGAGGACCAATCTGCAGGCACTAGGCAGTAGAACCATTGCAACTTGGGATGTGCCAATCCGGTCTATAGTGGCCACATGTCAATGGATGGGTCATATAGGAGGCTCGCACCCCAGCAATTGAAAAACAAAAAAAAAAGGAAAAAAGAAAAAAGAAAAACACACATTCAACTCAAAATTATTAACTGGCAGGCACAGTTAGAAACGGATTAAGGCACCAAACCAAAACTAACCCAGGGTCAAAATTAGGAACCCCAAGCACAAGCAGAGCTAAAGGTTGGACTTATGGTCTGTTGAGTTCGCAGCTGGCCCACCCAGCCACAGTTATTCCAGAGAGCGACAGGAAGAGAATTAAAAAATAAAAGAAAAAGAACTTTTCTTTTTTGTCTTACCTCTTTCAGAAGTCAGAACCATACTTGATTCTCCAACTTGCATATACAATTGAAAGGGATGGTCTTTAGCATCGGTGTTGGACACAAGACTTGTCTATCCAGCCAGAAACTATGGAAATGGAACTTCATAGCCAAGCCCATAAGACAGGAGACAGCTACCGGATCATGGAGGATAAATATGAATAAGTTTTGTGTCCGTCACCGATGCAGAAGACTTTTCCCTGATCACCTTCGAACTTGATCGTTGACGAAATGAAGCCGAGAGAGCTTTGCTTTGACAGAATCCTGAATGTGTTAATCTATAATTTTTATAGATATGGGCCTATGGGAGAAGACCGGAGAGGAGTACTTTGGGAAGTGCAAATGCGTGTATGGTAGTACAGTTTTAAGTACATTTGCAGGAATTCCATTTCAGACGTTTTAAATAGTAACCCATTCACTCGTACTACACAACCAAACACTTACTTCTGTCCAAATGTTAGTATGTGTTTGGTTCGTCGGCGTTTATGGATAGGCCACTTTAAACATTTTTAATTTAAACGTTTTTTTCTTATATTTTTTCCCTTCAAATATTTTTTACTTTTTACTTTAAATGCTTCCTGTTTTTGTTCTTTGGTTGGGCAGCGTTTTTAACTCCTCCTCATATTAAGGCTGTGTGGTTCTGTGGGCATTTATTGAAAAAAATGTTGCCACATCATCACTACATAGGCGTTGGCGTTTATTGCATATGAAGTAAAATGAAACAACTGTTTGGTTTCACCATTTATCAAATAAATGGTAGAAAACTGAAATTTTGATTTCTGTGCATGGGGCATTTGGGGAAACGTCAAATTCTTGTTTCCCCCAACGCCCCAACATTTCTTGAAACCAAATGCTAATGTGGCACACTTTAATGGGTATTAATATGAGGTGGATAGTAAAAAATGTTTTAAGTGAAGTCCAACCAAACAACAAAAACAGGAAACATTTAAAGTGAAAAAGTATAAATAAACTTTTGAAGTGAAAAAGTACAAATAAATGGCTTATATCGATCGATACATATCATATCGAGCCCTTCCCGATACGCTCTTACAGGGGTTGTATTGGGTTAGGGCTCGGTCCAGAGGGTAGTCGGGGACTTAAACTAGCCCCTCTTAACCAAAATCGGAAAAAAAAGGACTAGTATTGGCCGATACGCCTGTAGGGCCTATCGGCCAGTATCGATACTTTGAACCTTGCCCCAAATGCCCCATGCACAAGAATCAAAGCGTTTCAAATTTCTACCATTTATTTGATAAACGATGAAACCAAATAGTTGGTTCATATTGCCTCATTTGCAATAAACACCAATGCCTATGTGGTGTTGATGTGGCAGTGTTTTTTCAATGAACGCCCATGGAACCAAACACAACATTAAAAGCTCATCATCTTCATCTTGTCTAATAAAACCGAGTCTGGATCAACTACCAATGAAATACGTTCCAACACCTTACCAACATCATCGATACCGCACATCTCATGCATGGTTGGTCCCACTTTTGTGGTGGGTCCTAATTTCATAGTGAAATGTGTGGTGTTAGATCAAGTTGGTAGGGTGTTGGAACGTGTTTTATTGGTAGGAGATCCCAATTCAATACAACCAAATTCTAATAACCTAAATATGTATCTTGGTAAATAGATTGTATCTGATGCTGCTCGACCCGAGGTGTTTCTTGAACCAAGGTCGCAATCAGATAATCTTGCCAGCTGGGCGGAGAAGAGGTGGAAGGACGAAGTCGTGCAACAAGATCTAAAACCAAGAACAGAGTCAGAGATCCGAGGAGTTATTCCCTTGTTAGGTACTCTGATGCTGAAGTTAGTCGAGAACGGTGGGCGGTCGGGCTGAGTAGTTGAGAGAACAGTGTTGGTCTGAGTAGAATAATAGTATGGATGCTAGATGTCAAAAGTCCCTTACCTTGAGTAGGGATTACCTACTTATAGCTGAAGATCTGTGTCCGATTCGGATGAGGCTTCCGGGGTTGTCAAGATGAGGTTGTCTGTCGAGGTCTTTAGGATAAGACCTAACCCTCGACGGAGCTGTCCTTTTTATCCGTACGATGCTCTCTTGTCTTGGCCGCGCTTATTTGATGACATGGTGCCGATGTGGCTGAAGTGATAAAGTGGCCATGGAGGTGACACGTGGCACCCGAGGCCAACTCAACCATAACCCAAACACCACTCCCCTAGTTCCGAAGTCGAGGAGTGTAGTGCTCGGCCATGGTATGGCGTGGAAGAGCTCTTTGGTTCTCGGTTGAGGAACTTGAATCTCAAGTTGGTTGAGCGTGCTATCTGAGAAGAGGAGCTCGGCTGAACTGGTTTTCTAGGCGAACCGGATGGCTTGACGCTCGTGTCATGCTGACGGAAGCGTCGTTTCGCCTTCCTAAGGTGACACAAGTGTAGAGGTCAGTGGCATCGGTTTGTCTTCTCGACCTGTCGGAGAGCAACGTTTGATCTACACCATTGATCTGGATCATTGAGAGCCCTATAAACGGGGGTGAAGAGCATTCTTACTTTGTCATTTGCAAAAGAAGTGTTTGTAGAGCTCGGCAAGAGGTAGTTCTTCAGCTTGGTGTTGCTTCAGTTCCATGGTCTAACCTTCGAAGTTTGGTAAGATGTCTTCCTCATCCTCTGATTCTTCCCGTTCTTCCTCTTCTTTTGCTTCCCTTTATTGTAGTGGATTTGAGCCGGGGTCTCTTGTCGAGGCTATCATGCTCAATACCTGTGAAGCTAGTGGCCAAGGGGCCGAGGCCGAGGAGTTTGAGGCCTTTGACCCTAAGTGGGTTATCGGGTGGGAGGCTGAGGCCAAGGGGGCCGAGGCTGAGCCATTGACTAGGGAGGTTGACCTTCCTCCGCAGGCTGGTTGTCGATTCGGGACTACTCCGTGCTGCTTGATGTCTAGGGGTGTAGCTTGGATCAAAACCATGTACGGAATTTTCAAGGAGTACGAGCTTAGGTGCCCGAGAGCTGGTGAGAGGCCCACAGATGTTCGGCTAGGCAAGCTCTGTGTGTATGAGCACAACTTGATAGTCGGGCTGAGGTTCCCTTTGAACGAGGGGCTTGTCGAGGTGTTCAAGTGGTACCGAGTACTACTTGTTCAATTGATGTTGGTCCATGCTGGTTTGATGTGTGAGGTGACCGGTCTGTTTGTTGCAATGACTTTTATCGATCTCTTTTCTTTTCCGAGTTGTTTGACTTGGTACTGACTCACTTCTTGTCTTGTCCAGGTGCTAAAATGGCTAGCCATGAGGATATCTCACACTGTATGAGGGATGCGGCGGCCATAGTGCGATCTAGAGGGACCTAGGGGACCCAGCCCCGATCTGAGGTGTAGTCGAGGTCTACAGAGCACACTCCCCAACATCAGAAGAAGGCGATGCAGGCTGACGAAGAGGTCGTGGTAGTTGACTTGGAGGAGAGTGCCCCGGTTGTCTGCTCTCCCCTTCTGCAGGATAACGTACCGGAGGGTGGTGACCCCACAGTCTATGTGTCGTGGTGGAGTGTTCGGCCCAAGGATGGGCTGGAAACAGAGGGTGTGGCCAAGTAGCTTCTCCTTTGTCTGCTGACACTGGCCATTAGGTGTGAGCTCGCCGAGTCTTCAAGCGACGCCTTAGAGAGTGTGCTCGCGCTTCAAGCTACGTCAATAAGTCTTCTTGCTCTCTTTTGTTATTTTTGCTTTGGTCGATCACTCATGTTGTGCTGACACTTAATTTTTTCTTTGCATAATGCTTGCTCGGTGAATGTTGTGATCGAGCATCTTCGGACAGTGTGACATCTCTATGAGACCGAGCAGGCTGAGGGCTCGGCTGGCCGAGTTCGAAGCTGTGCAAGCTTGGTTGGCCGAGCTCGAGGCCAAGAACGCTGAGCTAAAGCGTGGCATCGAGGAGAGGACAAACATTGTCCGCAAGTTGAAGAGCCATGTTATCAACTTCAAGGGCGCATGGGAGGCACTGAAGACTGAGGCTGACGAGTGAGATGGATGACTTTGCCTCACACTCCTAGGAGGGATTCTACCTCTGTCGAGACAAGGTCCTACGCCGACTTCCCAATGTTATCGAGGTCGTGTAGGGCTTAGACCCGTATTATCCTGCCACGCCCGTTGAGGGTGACAGTACTACAACCAAGGTAGCTGAAGAGGCCGAGGAGTGAAGTGTCTGTCAGCCACTACTACTGCTACATCTATTTTTGTTCTACTCTTCTGATGTTTCTCTTTTTTTTATTGATGATGTACATGGCTCGGTATGCCGAGCCTTTATACTTGTAATTACTTTTTGCGAAGTTAATGAAAGGCACCTTTTTGTTTCGAGCTATGTCCCATTCTCTTTTTTCTTTTGTTTTGTCGAACTTAGTTGTAAGCCTCGATCTTATCTAGGCTGAGAGGTCTAGGGTAGTTGAGATCTTCAGTCTTCAGCTTTCGCTAGTCAAAGTGCTTCCGAGCTCTCGTTACTTGGGGGATGCTCAGTTGTAACAAGTGTTCTCTTCGCAGCGCCAACCACCGTGCCTATAGCCGCCACTCCAGCGTCCAAGTGCGTGTCATGGGTGGGCTATGCTTGTACTTTTGTATGGGGGATTGCCAATGGCATTATTGTAAT